TGCCTCTGTCACCACCCTCTGGCTGGACAGCCTGGGGTGACTCCCTGCTCTCCTTCCACACCAAGTCCTCCATCCTCCACCCTTTCTTGCAGATGTTTCCTCTCCCAGGAAGCATTCCCTGACTGCCATGCTGGCGCGGTCCCCTCCTCTGTGCCCTCAGGGCTCCTTGCTGTGGCTTGTGTATCTGCTAGGGGCCGGGAGGCGCCCTGTGCTTGTGAACTGCGCATGCGTGTGCCCTCTACCCCTGCTCACACACGCAGCCTCGCATCCCCCGGCGGTGCCTGCTGCGTATGTGACGCTCGTCGTGCCCCCTGTGCTTGGTGCACGGAGGCCTGTTCCTGCCCGTCACCCACAGCCTGTCGTGCCAAGCCCCGGCATGCCCACCTCCTCACCGTCACTCCACTGGTAAGACACTTGCTCACTGAGAATCTTCAGCGCACAGTTTGTGACGTAATACGATTAACTGCTGTTGCCCGTGTGTTGCCTTTGAATCTGGCAGAGTCTGTGTGGTCCGTGGAGATGCTCAGGAGACCGGCTCTAAAGTTAGTTGGGATTTGGGGTCACAGACGGGGGCACACCTCTGGGGCAGAGTGGCAGGAGCTCAGCCAGGCGGCCAGGGCCTGGGGCTTCCAGGGCCCCCTTGACTGGGAAGAGCCTGCACGAGCTCCGTGGTGTCGGGAGAGAAATAGTTAGGGTTTCTGGAGGAGAAATATCCGTCGGAAAACACAAAAACAGCCGGTGGAGATTGGCTGTCAGTCCGGTTAGGGGTGCTGGGAATGACAGCCGTCTGCGTTATTATCTGCAGACAGACTGGTTAACGGGCTAAACACAGGCGTGCAGTTCACACGGCCCCAGTCAGGCAAGAGACAGATCCAGCTGGGGTGGGCGTGACGGTGGCAGCGAGGGCGCCTGCCAGAGCCGGACCTGCCCAGCACCTGCATCGCGGCCCACCAGGACCGAGAGCACCCTCCGGCTTTCCCCCGCACGGCGGAGACCGCCCTGCCCTTCATAGACGGGCCTTCTCAGGAGAGCACCAGGCCACGCCGAGATCTCTTTTAACTTTATTTCTCAATCTGGGGTTTTCACTGATTGTTGGTTCCTGCGCAAGGCCCTGAGCGAGAGGAAGGACGACTGCGCCCTGGACCTTGAGTCAGATGGGAGCTGACGGATGCGTGGAGGAGGCAGGCGGAGAGGGCGGGCCTTGGGGCAGGAGGCGCCCGCAGGCTCGGCGGTGGGGGGAGAACTGGCCTGGAGATTAGCAGGGCCAGAGAACCTCGCAAGAGCAGAAGCGGAGGAAAGCCTGCGGCACGAGCAGGGACGGCTTGAGAAAGGTGATGAGGAGTAGGACAAACGTAAGGCAGCTCTGGCATTAGTGTCAGCCTGGGGCTCAGAGGAGCAGCCTCGGAGTATCGAGGGAGCCGAGAGAGCAGGGACTTCACAGAGAACCGATTAAAGAACGTGATGGGGCGGGATAAAGAGCTCCGGTGTCAGGAGGGGGCAGGCAGAGAACGGCAGCCTGTCCTGGAAAGGCATCGTTCATGGTGGTGGGGACAGAGTTTGACTCTGGGTCACATTACCGAGGAGAATAGCTGCTTCCTGGTTGGGAGGGGCTTCGGCAGAGGCGGCTTAAGGGTGCGGGCTGTGGCCCCCACGGGCCTGTGCGCTGGTGCAGAGAGGGGTGCCCACGGGTCAGCAGGACCGCGTGGTTAACCCACCCCAAGTCTTGGTGCTTCAAAAGCTTACAGAATGTTCAGCGATGGAGAAGAGTGATTAATAGTTGCCACCTAGAAGGAGATTTTCAAATTTACCCTGCCTAGCTCAGGGCAGAGCTGATGGCCCAAAATAGTTTTCACATCTCCGTAGAAGGTCCTCCCGTCTGACCTAGACCTGTCTGGTCTTGACAGGTAAGTGCCTGCAGATGGGCCCAAAGAGGGAAATTTTATTTTAAAAAAGGAAGGGAAACACTGCGCATGGTGGCTCATGCCTGTGATCCCAGCACTTTGGGAGGCCCAGGCAGGAGGATCACATGAGCCCAGGAGTCAGTTTGAGGTTACAGAGAGCTGTGATGACACCACTGCCCTCCAGCCTGGGTGACGGAGTGAGCCCCTGTCACCGTGGAAAGACAGGGAAGGGGAGGCAGCGCGTGCTGCATGCTGGGGGTGCCGCGGCGGGGAGGCGAGGGCACGGCCAGCGCCCGCCCTTCAGGGAGGGGGATCAGCTCACTGGAAGAGAGAACGGCCGCGGCCCAGCAGAGTGGGCAGCCAGGAAACCTCGTGGTCTCACTTAGTCATCACGTGAGAGTTTGAAATTGAAATTTGGAACAGTGGTCAATAAATCAGTTGAAGTGGGAATATGGAAAAATAGTGATGCAGGAAGGGCAGCGCGGAACTGATACTTTCGATGCAATTCCACCCTTGGTATCACATTCGTCTCCTCTGTGTACTGATTCCACAGCAGGGCGGCGTGTGTAAGCCGCGAGTGCTCGTGCTGGGGGGGAGGGACAGGGCCCCGGAGGGTGCGGCCGCGGTCACCGCCTCTGCCCTGCCCCACCCCGCCGCGTGCTCCCTCAGGTGGAGCGACGGGTCCAGCCAGCCCACACCGGGTACTGGCACCTCGTCCTGTAACCAGACAGGCCCTCGCCCAGGAACGGACTCACCGAACATGGGCCAGTCCAAAGCTCCTCACCCGCCAGCGGGCCCCTGGGAAGGAGGGGCGAGGTCACAGTTCTCCCAAGCACCGGGAGGGCCACGGAGGGCCAGCTGTGCGTCCAGCCCTTGCGGCTGTCCACGCAGGGTGCAGACGCCCGCCAGCCCTGTCCAGTTATGCGCTTACAGTCTGTTCTTGGCGCCTGCACCCAAGTTCAAGAGCAGCTTTACAAGTTGCATCATCTTATTTATGATCTAGAGCCTTTGACTAATTTAGAAATCTGGAAACCAGAGAAAAAGCCTTAGGATATGGTAGCACTTCATGGAGAGCTTCCCCTCCACGGTCCCCTCCCTATTCCCACTGTCCCCATGTCCCCTCCCCACTGTCCCATCCCCTCCCCACTGTCCCTACAGCCCCTCTCACCTTCTTGCTTTGTTGGTCAGATCATCTCCTCAGACACAATATGCTCTTTCTGCAAGGAATTGTGGAGAAGTTTCATCCGTGGATTTTAGCCAGTGTGTCTGGAAAATGTCTTCCTGATTCTGGAAAGTTCCAGCTACATTGAAAAGAATTCGCATCACTCATTTCCACTTCAGTCGTTCTGAATTCAGAGCATCTCACTCAGGCTGAGCCCCTCACAGGTCCCAGGAGGCTGGGCCCAGGGCCTCGCAAACGAAGGCTGCCCTTGCGGCTGGCACGAGGGAGGTCTGTGAGCTCCGCATGGTGGCTGAGGGCAGGGCCTGTCCTCGAGGTGGCCCAGGGCACTGTGAGTTCAGCCACACTCGCTGGCAGGTTTAGAAATACGAAGTTTGAGTATCTGGCAATCGATTCCCTTAAAACCACCCGCGTGCTCCTAGGGAAGCCAGTCTGCAGCGCCCAGACCGAGGCCCACCGCAGAGGACGGGGCTCTCGCCCTTCAGAGAGCTGGGGACAGGCACCCAGGGAGAGGAACGTCCACGTGTGGGCTGCGGAGGGCGGCCAGCATCCCTCAGCCCCGCCCGACCGCCCTTCCCTCCTGCATCCACAGCTCACGCTGGCATGTGGCATCCCTCGCGCCCTCAGCCATGTTGTGCGTTCTCAGGGCCAGGGCCTTGGTCGCTGAGCGCTGCGCCCGGAGCTGACAGAGTTCGGTGTGCTCCCTGAGACTCGCGGGCAGCAGGCCAGCTCCTCCCGGCTCCCAGCGGGCGGCAGAGGGTGGGTATTCCGGGCTGGCCTGAGCCATGCAAGGGTGGAGTCCACTCGCCAGCACAGCGCCCAGCGGGGTCTGTGTCGGCCCTTGGGGGCCAGGGGGTCACACGCCAGGACCTTACTCAAGATGAGCGCCCTCCTGGCTTTGGTTCCGTAACAGCTTATTGAGATGTAATCCTCACGCCGTGCCGTTCACCTCATTTAAACTATGCAATTCAGTAGTTTTTAGTGTACGGAAGACCTCACTGAACATCATCCAGAGGTTTTGGAAACTGGGACTTTAAGCAAAGTGATGTTCAATGAAACCAGCTTTACACAGGGTAATCGACGTAACAAGAATTAAGTTCCTGTGGCTTATTTCTGCTCACAAGAACATCACGAAACCAAATAAAGACCAAAACACTCCTGATATAAAACGTTGAGATAAACATGACCTATACATACCTCTAAGAAAAGTTAATGAAAAGAAGTAAGATAGTTATTTACCCAGCTACTCCAGTTCCGGGTCACGGTGGCTGGCGCCGTGCTGGCTCAGGGTGCCGGGCAGACGCCAGCCCGGACCGGACGCCGCGCGCTCGCGCACACCACGCTCCACACCGGGCCACGCAGACACGCCGTGAGCCCAGCGCGCGTTCCTGGGCATCCGGGAGGGAACGAGAGTCCCTGGAGAAAACCCACTGGGACGAGGGGGCAGTGGGGAAACTCCCACCTGGCCCCGGGGGCATGGATTTTATTCAACGTTGTAACAAATGACCTGTTTGAGGAACTGCTGTCGGTAACCTCACGGAGTTGTGCGACCGTGGCCACCGTCAACTCCTGTTGACTTTCAACCCAGCTGCCAAATGCAAAAGTTAATTAACTTAAAAAGAGAAAGAGCCCATGAGACAAACGTAAGGAAACGTGGAATAATCCAGCGTGGACACGTTATAGGAAGCCATGTCGCGGTGTGTGTAACTTTGGACCACGCGTTCATTTACTTTTGTCCTGACTGATCAGACGCGTCACAACCTCCTGGTCACTGTCGGGTGTCTGTGCCGGGCAGGGGCGGGCGGGGCGGTGGCCAGGGCTTCCCTGACTCCCACGTGCCAGCCCCGGGGCTGGGCGGGACAGCGTCCTGACTTGCGCGCCGGCCGTCACTCACGGCACCCCTTCCTTTTCTCACCCAGGTGTTCCACTGTGTCCACTTCGAGTGTCCGGAGCAGCAGAACAGCCAGAAGGAAGAAAACAGCGAGGAGCTGGGGGCGGGGGACAGCCCGGCCAGTCAGCAGCTTGACCCCCACGCCCTGCAGGCCCCCAGCGGCAGCTCGCTGCCCCCCAGCCCACGCTCCAACTCGCGCTCGCCCAACCGGCAGCACCAATAAAGGAGGCAGGGGCCTGGTGTGACTCGGGGGGCCCCGACGACAGCAGGAAGCGGTGTGTCCTCCCTGAGCAGGGGGCTTTGTTGACTGTCCCCCACCCCATTCCTGGCTGCAAAAGCGGACACAGAGCAGGTTTTCTCCCAAGGACAGAGAGGGGCTGCCTCGTTCTCAGTTTGCTCAGTCAGGCGGGTCTCCAGGGGAGAAATGGGTCCTCAGCCTTCATCAGCCCACCGTCCCCGCCCTGCCTCTCCGCGCCCGCCAGGCCGGGCAGCAGGAAGCGCCGGCGCGTGCTGGGACAGGACGGAGACACGCGACTGGCCTGCAAGCTGGAGGCCGGTTTCCGCGCAGCGTTCCCTTGCGTGGAACACGTTGCCCTGGCCACTAAGTGATTTCTTATTTCCTCTAGTTATTCTCCGTGTGCCGAGTCATGGGTGTTCCGGATCTTTTTGCAATGCTCTAACAGCAAATCACCGGTTTAATCCTTTTGACGCCGTACTTTCCCTCGCCTGGCTTTGCGCAGGGGGGCAGAGACCCCGCGTCTCTCCGTGGCACGCTCAGGGCCGCGTCCCGGCACCTGGTCCGGTGAGGACGGGCCTCTGAGGAGGTTCCACAAAGTACACGACGAGCAGCGCTGTCTGTGGGCAGTTAGTGATCACTCGAATCGCTGAGTCGTTGGCCTGTCATCCCCGAACCATGCCCCGCCTGCGAGCCGGGCAGGCTGACGAGGAACAGTCGCCGTGCCGCCCGCTGTTTACCAGGCGGAGTCTGCGTGGTGCCCGTGTCCCGCGTGGCCGCCGGGCTCTGGCCGTGGCTTAGCTGCCCTCGGGCTTTGTTTAGCTCCGGAGGCAGCCCCTGCCCAGCGTCGTCCCGTGAGCAAGGGGACCTCTGCGGCCTGGCGGTGGCTGCCGGGCCCCTGCGCCACAGCGCCCAGCGGGCGGAGAGCAGCCGCGCTGAGCAGCGTTGCTCCTGGCCCCCTCGCAGGGATCTCAGCCGACTGCTGTGGCTCGACCTGGCTCTGGCTCTGCGATCCCCACCCCAGTGCCCCTGCCCGTGGTCACTGCTCGGCCGCCGACCGCCCTCCGGCTGTCCCCAGACTCCTGCCTCCTCCAGACAGTGTGTCCAAGAGGGGTCCCGGGGTCCTCGGTGGTCCTGCGACCTGCTGAGAGGAGGGGTGAGGGCTCAGGCTCGCTTTCTGGCGTCTCAAAGACACATTGGCTGAGGGTGTCGGAAGAGCCAGTGGGTCAGCTGTTTTCTCCTAGTTTAACTTAGTTTTGAGTGATTTATCCATATTGAAATAGTGGGTGGCCCCAGACTGCATGATTAAGCAAACGGTTGTTTTTCTGCGTGAGCACAGAGCGGCGGCCAGCAGAGGGTCACCGGGTGGGGAAGAGCTGCCCCTGGGGGCGGAAGCCACGGCCCCCTCCCTCCCCTGGCTCTGTGTGGGGCTGAGCGGATGCTCACGTAACGAGAGGAGGTTCCAGTGACAAACGGCCGATGGCGGGGCGCCCGCTGGCTGTGGGGGCCTCCTGCATGGTCACTGCCTCTGTCAGCACCCAGCAGTCACCCGTTAGCACGGAGCTCCGGGCCCTCAGCACTTCCTCACACCCTGCGTCCCCTGCCCAGACGGGACAGAGGAGCCACATCAGGCATAGCGAGGGCAGAGGTCAAATGACTTGAAAGATCTGTTCAAGGACTTCCTTTTAGACGTGGAAGCCGCCTGTCCAGGGGCCCCGGGCCTGGAGCGCACCTCTGCCCGGGCGAGGGCGGCTGGCGCGGGGCGGGGTGGCCTCCTCCCTCCTGTCTTCCCGCAGGCTGCAGATGCCCCTCGTTATCAGATAAAGAGAAGCAAGGGGGCGAGGGGGTGGGACGTCGGCGGGAGGACCGAGGGCAGGTCTCACCTGCCACCCCGCTGTGGCTGCCACTCAGACGGAAGCCTGGTCTCTCCGCTCCCCCGCCAGCTGGGCGAGTGTCCCCATGGGCCCTCTGATTCGGGGCAGGACGCTCCTGCACATCCAGCTGGGCCGACAGCACCGTCAAGCGTCACAGCGGACAGGGCGAGGCCCTTGTTTGGGAACAGGGATGTTGGGCCAGAGAGGTCCCCAGACGGCCTGCAGAAATGGGGTGTTGCCAGAACCCCATGCCCTTCGTTTTTTAGCATGTTTTGGGGAGGGTAGAAAGAACTCTTTGTTGGGGCTTTTGGGGAAAGCCTTCCACATCACCTTTGCGGCTCCTGGCAGGGCGGTGTTAGGGGCCGGCCCTGCTGCGAGCACTTTGGACCTGGATGCGAACAGCTGTGGAGACACGTCTCTCTCACACACACACACACACACACACACACACACACACACACACACACTTGCTTTCCCATTCTCTGAGTGCTTTTTCTGTTTTTATTCTGATTTTAGTTAGAACCATGAGCCGTGATGGATGTGGGACTCTTCTCAATTGCTCTTTAAATTGTCACTTTTTAAATCTTATTGAGTGAAGTGTCGATCCTGACAAATACATTTAAAAAGTGTTTTATTCCTAGAAGAGCTGGGAAAAATTATTTTCAGTAAGGGTAGGATGTGTTTGTTAGACTGATTCCTTGGCAAAGAAAAAAAAAATGAGTTTTTGAATTGTGCAATAAATTGCTCAGCAGTTACGCTGTCGCCCCAAACTGCCGTGCAGACGGCTCCCACCCAGTCAGCTTCACCTTCTTTTTAATCTAGAAGATAATCTAGGGCCAAGGGGAAAAAGGAAGGTAAAGTCTACAATAAAAAGTAGAGCGCTCCACGTGCTGAGGCCGCTTGGCAATAACGGAGTGCTCCCCGTCGCAGACTTCGATTAAGAACCTCCCTTTGGACAGGGAAGAAACGTGTCCGAGAGGAAACGAAAATTAAATCTGCCTCCTTCCAGGGGTTTCTCCGCATTAGCATTTGCTGCCCGCTGTTGTCATCTGCGTCCTGCCCCTGTGCGGCGGCCAGCTCCTCCGCAGTGGCCGGCCATGGTGGCAGCGGCGGGCAAGGCCATGCTCCGTTTACTTTTGTGGCCGCAGCGATTGATTCTGCATGTTTATCCTGACAACAGCTCCAGGAGGAGTCTAGTGCTCATTAGTGGCCCTAGGAATTTCAAACGCCGTCCGTGATTCTGTACCACCATGGGTTTTATTATGATAATATTAAATTAGAAGTCATCCTGGTGCCTGGCGTTTTGCTCTGGAGTTTCTGGAAAAGAGAGAAGGGAATGGCTTAGACCTGCGGTCCCCGACCCCCAGGCTGCCGACCAGTCCCGCTCAGTTCCTGCAGGCGAGCAGTGGGCCAGGAGCGGAGCTTCATCTGTATTTACAGCCGCTCCCCATCACTGGCATCGCCGCCCGAGCTCCACCTCCCGTCAGATCAGCGGTGGCATCAGATTCTCGCAGGGGCACGAGCCCTACTGTAAACCGCGCGTGCCAGGGATCTAGGTTGCGCGCACCTGCTGATCCGAGGCGGAGCTGAGGCGGTGATGCTAGCGCTGGGGAGCGGCTGCAAATACAGATCATCACTGGCAGAGAGGTCTGACTGCACAGTAAGTGTAATGTGCTGGAATCATCCAGAAACCACCCCCACTCACCCTGTCTGTGGAAAAATTGTCTTCCATGAAACCGGTCCCTGGTGCCAAAAGGGTTGGGGACCGCTGGCTTAGCTCAAGGGACAACGAGACCCTCCCGTAGACACTCCTATCTCCCTGCCTGACGCGGACTGAGACTCCGCCCATCCCAGGATTCTGAGGCCCTGGTTGTCTGCAGAGCGGATGGTAAAGGGTGGGAAGAGTGAGGCCCACACAAGGTGGGCTGGGGAGGCAGGAGAGGCCCAGGGGTCCTCTTCCTCACGGTCCCTGTGGTGTGTTATCAAAACCAGGGGCTTTCGCTCTAGGTCTAGTTGCTTGTTGCACAAAGACGAGGAGGATTGCCAAGGAAGAAACGCATTTTTAATGTGCCAGACCCCAGGAGGTCAGGAGAAGCTGCCTCCAATCTGTCTCCCCAACTAAGGGAGATCATGAGCTTTTAAAGGAGGGCCGTGTGCCCTGGGGCAGGTCGTGGTGTAACTGACAGGGGGCTACGTGCCTTGGGGCAGGTTGTGGGGGTGGTGAGTCTTGGCATCAGGAGTCTGCCCAGGGCCTTCAGAATCGCAACCCTTTGTCTTGCAGGAGACCCACCATTTCTGGGAAGCAACTCCAAGGTCAAGTAGCTAAGGGAGAGGCACTGAAATCTGTTCCCTGGCGAGGGCGGTTACAGGCGTCTTGCTTCCAGCAGGCAGAGGAGGAGGCTGTGCCTTGCTCCTGGCCTCCTGGGTGCACCTCCCAGGACGCTCCAGCACACGCAAGCCCCATGTCCCCCCAGCCAGGACTTTCTGCTGGGCTAAGGCTGGGGTGAGGGGCAGGTGCGTGGAAGATTACGGAAGAGCCACACGCCCAGTGTTGGAAAGTCGCTGTTCTCTTTTTAAATTACTCTTTAAAAAAATTAACACAAGTAATACCTGCTCATAGAATAATGTCCCACCCCAGCAGAAGGAGCGAGCGTCTGGCTCCTTGCCTGGCTCTGGGTCACTCTGGACCCGGCCTGCGTCCTCATTCGCTCCCTCTGAGCCATGCCACCGGCCACAGGGCTCCCTGTCCCTGCACCCCAGCCTCGGCCAGGCCCGCCTGCTGCACCCAGCAAGCCTGCTGCCGGAAGCCGGCCTGGACACCCCCTCAAGTTAGTTTCTTTTTTTCTTTTAAAGAACTGAAATACTCCCCCGAGGCCTCCAGGCCTGAAAGCTCACAATCATCCACCTGTAATTTATGATAAATGTCTTGGAGCATTTACCATTTGCATCCGTGAGTATTTATAGCCCTGAGCAGGGAAGACGGGGGAGGCGGCAGAGGCCCACACACCTGTCCCTGCCATTGTCCCCTGCTTGGCAGAGTCCCCTCAGCCTTCCCAAGGGCTGTCACTGGCCTTTGAAAGCCAGCGGTTGGTTGCTGCTCTAGGCGGAAGGCCCCAGGCAGAGACCCTGGGCCCGGCGCCGTGGGGGAAGCAGACAGGAGGGCCTGAGAGGCCTTCAGGGCAGCATCCGGGCCCTGGGACCCTGGTGACGAGGCTCTTACAGCCCATC